AATGTCTGAAATCCTTCCAGGAGCAGAACAATAGGTAGCACAACTGAAAAGTGTGAAGATACAGGCGCTATGAGACACTGTCACATAATGTGTTTCTCTCAAATTTCTAAGCCTGGTTCTTGAGCATGGAAAAAATCATGCTGTTTTTCTTCAATAAAGTGTTTTGCTTTGTAAAGAAAAATTATTGCAAAGTCCTCAGTGTAATTACTAACCTCTCGTTGCCTTATTTTGAGCTCTGATCTTTTTCTCATTAGGGTGATATTGTTAGCACACTTCCTGTTTTCGAGGTCTATTTCTTTTTCAGTTTGATAGTTATATGTTTGCAATTTTTTTTTAAAAGGAAGCAACAGATTCCAAGTCACAAGACAGTTTGCTAGTTAGAGCAACCAAAGTCAGGGAGAGATGGAGGAGAAAATGAGTCTTTATTACTTTGTAAAAATTACCCAAACTAGCTTGTGCACCATTTACTAATGAAATCTAGTCTTTCTTTAAAAGGTGCAAAATACCCATATTTCAACTGTTTCGACATTTCCCAGGGTACATTAACCTTGCCAGTGCAAAGTCTATTGTTCTTTCTGCCATTTCATGTACAACAATTTTATGTCTTGTGTTGAACTTTGGCCAGAACTTTTCAGCTGGTCTATTATCTCATTACCAGTCATTCTGAGACCATCTGAGAAGCACTCATCAAAGATTGGCCTGACGCATCAGGCCATAATATCAGAGTCTCCTAAAGAAAACCGATGCAGTCAGGGTAAGGCACTGAAGTAATCCTCTGATTACGGTATGCTGCATTTGGTTTTTCACCTGCATATTGCAGCTATTTTTTACTCAAACTAGCACTTTGGGGCTGATATTTGAATTGATTTGAATATACATAGCTGTAGTGACTTATTTCTTTCTCATACTTTGTGGTCGATGGCCGCACAAAATGTGGGTTAAACAGTACTGCCACGAGGCCATTCCAGCAACAATGTATGTAGGCGTTTCCATGCTGTCCGAGACCATTAGTCCCTCAAATCCAGTATTTTGTCTCAAGCAGTGACTTCAGAAGATGGGGGGGGGAACCCTGCTGCAACTAGCCAGTTATGCTGCATGTTGAAGGGATGATTGCTTTCTGACCTCTGCAATGATCAGCTTATACCATATTCTAGCATGCTTAACTACTAATGTTTTTATTATAAAATAATCCAGGCACAGTATTTGACATTCTGATCCCACTGCAGTAATGAAATCCATAGACTGATAGCAAGCTGTATGAAGAAATATTTTCCTTAATTTCATTGAGAGCCCTTGTTCTCATCTTACAGGGTAGGTAGGGTAAAGGAAGGGTCTGATCAGTGGTTTTTTTTTTTGTTTTTGTTTTTTTTGTTCTGCCCTTATTAATTTTGGATATCTTAGAGATGGACCTGAACCAAAACCCTGGATGCAACTGTAACACCGACACCCAAGTTGTCAGTGGGCAGGATCAAACTTGGGGCCTCTGGAGCTCAGTGCATGAGCTAAAAGCCATATGGCTTAGCGAAGGCTGTAGAGCAGACTCCTTAATCTCTCTCTCTCTAAGTGGTCTCCAAGCCACTAGATGGGACAGGACACCACACCCAGAAGGTGTGTGGTTATATACTTCCCCTAGCTGAGGAAGCATGTTTCACGCTTCAGAGACTTCCCAATTGAAATCCCGGACAAGCACCCCCACTTGTAACGCCGACAGACCCAGGTTGTCGGCAGGCGGGATCGAACTTGGGGCCTCCGGAGCTTAGTGCATGAGCCTCTACTTCATGGGTCTTAGCTAAGGCTATATATATAAATAAAAAATGTCTCTGTCTGTGGTCTCGGTGCCACTAGATGGGTCAGAACACCACACCCCAGAGGGGTGTGGGTTACACAACCATCACCAAACTTTGGAAACGTTTAGGTAAGGATCCCGACTTTGCAGCTGGTCCTTAGTTCTATAATGGACCAAACCAAAACCCTGCATTTAACCACCACCTGAACTGTGCGGCTTGGGTCCCATCTCAAGTCCGTTTAGTCCTTTGTTCCAGGGTGAAAGGGGGCAAAGAGCACTGCTTATTCTCTACTTCTGGGGCAGGGACCACTTTGTCTTTGTAGCTTTTTTTACTAGCTCAGGAATGGCACTGAATGAAGGGTTACCACCAGTCCGAAGATTTATGGGCTGATCTCAATTCTGATCAGTGAGCCTAGAATCTGCAGGGCAGTTTAACGAGCCTTGGATTTAATTTGAATCTGAAAATGTCATAATGTGGGGATGGTGCATCTTTAGGTGGTGACATGCTGTCTGTATATGATAACATGGCACCAAGACAAGAGGGCACTCTGTCTTACAAACCTAATGCAAAGGGATTTAAGATCTTATAGAAGAAACTGACCAGAAGGTGATGGGTGGAGGCTGTGTGTGTGAGAGAGAGAGAGGGAATGAGGGACAGATAAAGGAATATCTAAAGTGATAACTAATTTCTGATTTCCTGACAGCATATTTACTACAAAGCTAGGGGGTTAGTTGTTATGTGGTGTATTAGTGGACTTCTCATAAATGTTGTCATTACAAGAAATGAGAAGCTCAGTAACAGGATTGGAAGTAGTAGGTTTTGTCATTCTTTAATATTTTTTTTGACAGATCTGCGTCAGACCTGAATGTAGCCCTGGATGAATGTATGATGGCTGTGGATTTATTTCTAAGCAACAAATTTCCTGAGGCCCTTGCTTCCCTGCAAGCGAAGTAAGTTGAATACTTTTACCAGCTTTTTGCTTTGTTTTTTTCTTTGCTTTCTTCATCTTCCATTAGAACTGCCACTACACTTTGAGCACTAGACAGATAAGTAATATTCCTTTTGGATTGGAGGAGGTGGGAAAATAAAATAACCTTTTAGGTTGTACATAACAAGTTGCTGGTGTTGGAAGAAGGAAAGATTTCCCCCCTTTCCCCCCACTGAGACAGGTAAATGGCATGGTATTGATCAGTGGTTATAGTACTTTGTGCAGCTGCCATATCCACAACATCTTGGGGTTATCTATGTGGAAGCACCATATAAATAAAGCATCTGACTTGCTGTACCTAAACAAATAGTGAAAACTCTGTTTTTCTCCGACATCTATATGGTGCTTTAGTCCACACCAGGAGGGTGTGAATTTTAGTGCATAACAAGCTAGTGTGGACTATCTTATCCATGTGGACCCTGCTGGCATTTGCTAAAAGTTCCCTAGTGCTGGTTAATGTAGTACTATTTGAAGCAGGACTACATTAAAGCCCAGTAGAGAACTTTCTGTGCATGTCAGCAGGGTCTACACAAGCCAGGCAATGCACAACAAACTAGTACAGATTAAAATTTACATCCCTCTAGTGTCAAGTATCAGATTTAATGATCTCCATCCAGATACATATCCTTCTCCGAGCACACTTCTTCCATCAGCCCTTTCAGTGATAATCCCACAAGCAATGGAGAAACCTTAGAAAATTAAAACTAATTAATCATCCTATGTGAATAGTCCTTACTCAGCAACTTAGATAAGGCCAGGTTGTAGGATCAAGTGCCATTGATGTAGCTGTCTCAGTGTAAACCCAAGTGTAGACAAAGAAAGCCACAGCTTCATTGGAGCTCAACCCTGCTTGAAACTAGGGTAAACTCATTGGAAGGTAAGAACTGTCATACTGGATCAGACCCAAGGTCCATCTACTCCAGTGTCCGGTCTCTGACAGTGGCTAGCACCAGTTGCTTCAGAGGAAATTAAGAGACTCTGCAGTAGGCAGATGTAAGGTAACTTGCCACTCGTAATAGATTTCATCCTCATATCTAATAATAGATTGAGATTGGATTAAGCCCTGAAGCATGGGGTTTAATATCCCTTCTACAAAAAATTGTTATAATTATGGTAAATCTGGATATTCTTGATACCCATATAAATGTCCAATCCCTTTTTTGAATCTTGTTGAGATCTTGGCCTTAAATGCCTGAACTCATTGCCATAGTATCTTTTCACACAATATGTAATTAATTTCCTTTTCTCAGTTTGAATTTTGCACCTTTTAAATCTTATTGAATGTTCCCTTGTGTAAAGCGGAGCAGTGTAAATCTGATTTTTCCCCCCTTGCCTGTATTTGGGGTTTGTAGTGGTGCAGTGGCTGGCCATCAATTGATTGTTGGATTTGGGGCCAATTCCCAGAGTAGACAAGGTCTCAGTTGACATTTGAAAGGTTCTCTTTGTGACCTTGAAGGCTAGAGAGTTAATTTTGTTAAAGGAGTTCTTTGCTTCTGAAATACATTTATGCAGCAACTAAAACACACACACGCCACTGTAGCCATGCTGACAGTTGCAAAATTGCATTATACACACAACCCTGGTTACGAGCAATGAGGGTATATGATCACTTTTTAAATTTTTTGTCTCTCTCTTTATTCCCACAGTTTTCATACTTTAACTTGCATCTGCCTGAGTTCTTTGCTTCCCAAGTCCTTTTGTATTTTATTGCCAGCTCCCACCCCTGCTGCCACAGGTTGTTTTGCCTAGTGTTGTGCCATCAGCAGATTTCGACACTGCTCCTTCCTTATTTCAAGCTGCTGATGTATACAGTGAACACAATTGGATATAGGGTCAGTTCTTGCTTTGGCGCTTTGCTATGTCACTTTCTTTCATCCTAAACTGCTTCCATTTACAAGTACCCTGTGAAATCAGTGATTTGTTGGGCTGGAGACAATCTGGACTCTAGTCATTGGTGTGCAAGAGTTAAAAGAAAACAAAATGGCTGCCTTATAAGTCTTTTTGCATTTGCTCAGAGCTGGGATGGGCCTGAGACATCCAGAAAAGCAGCTGGGCCACCAAGCTGCACTTCCCCCATTTATTGCTTCAGCCAGCCTCACGCCCCGCCTCCACATAAAATAAATCTCAGTGTTGTGCATCTCTTTCCTGCTCTTCTCCCTGTCCACCCTGCCTGTCACAGCAGGCGCCACCAAAGGAAAGTGCTGTTATGCTTGGTATGTGTCAAGGATTCATTCCAGTGGGTGTGATGTACCTACCTTATTTGGGCACTGACCCCACTCCTCGATACTAAAGGTACTGGCTCTGTAGGTTGCACTGTTGGTGATACTGTGTAAAATGTGCTTTTGGCAAATTGTGGAGTCGGTGAGCCTTCTAGTGGTTTGGGATGATATCTGCCTTATTCCCAGTGCTGAAGTGTTGTGGTTTTTGTAGCGTGGGAGGTTGTCACGAAATGTTAACAAGAGCAGCACTATTTTCACCAAAATCACGTGCGAAATGTCCCTGTGCCCATGTGGGTATGTTTACTTTGTATTTAAAAAAGAAAAAGGGGATAGTAAAATGCTGCAAAAGTGACACTGAGACCCCTGTTGTGAAGGGGCCTAGATATTTGTCTATCCATCCATTTTTATTCTCGTTCATTGCATATAGTTTCCATTCTGTTTTCATAGGGCCCTGTTGAATTCATTTCACGAGCTGACTTTATATCCTCATATCTTGAATATGAATTTATTTAATTGCAAAACCATTTTCAAACTGATCTTTCATCTTAGTCCATTGTCAAAGGGAGGCCCCCAACCCCTTAGCCCTTGACACCACAGGCAATACAAATGATCTTCGTTACAAACACACGCTATCTCTTTAGGGAATGACAATAGTTGTGGGAATGGGATGTGTAATAATAGGCAACATTTTCTTTGGGGGTGGGGCATCAGTTCCTCATTGTTGCTTTTTAGCATGCTGAGATTTGAAATGGGTTTGCACAGCCTGTAAAAGTATTTATTTTTCAGAATTCTTACCTGTTGTCCCAATAATTCTTTGTTTTAGATTTTGTGGATTTATCACTTATGGTGTGGGACATATTCTGTTCTGGGTTACACCATTGCAATTCCACTGAAATAACCAATTTAGCCACGTTTGGCATCTAAAAATCAGTTTAGCTCCATTAATCTTCATCTCATTTGCATCAGGTGTAACTGAGAGCAGAACTAGACTCTGCATATATGACAATATCTATTGCAGCAGCTGAGACAGAGCTTTAACTGACAGGTCTTTCCTAGCAGTTTAAAAATAAATGCCTTGGGAAGGTGTCTGGGTGCTTCTGTGTAGTGATAAAATCTCTGTTCCTGATAGAAGAGCGTGTCAGAAAGGCAGATCTAGTTTCATTAAAATATTTATGTGGCTTCTTTCTTCAGATTACATAAAGATCTTTTGGTTGCTGCTTTTTAGATTTTAGAGCCAATTTCCCTCTTCTCTCCACCAATAATGTTTGTCCTAATTGTAGGGTCCAATTCGTGACCTATTCTTCACCATGCAGACCTGGGCCTTGAGGTTTTATTTTTATTTCATTTTTTATGTAGAATATTAATCTTTCCCAACCGTCAGCCACCCTAACAATTAACAAAAAAGCCTTCAAAGTATGCAAAAGTAAGTGCCTTGAGGTCAACAAATCTGAGCTATTTTGGAAGAAAGGATGGGAATGAATATGAAAGTTGAAGGGCCGTCATAGAGGACCACCTTGCCAACTGCTCCCTTTCTTGTTAAGCAAGAAAGTTCCTGCTCTAATGCATCACTTGATTGTAACCGTGGCAATGTCTCACAGGAAGAGGGTTGGTTTCTCAGGTGGAAGGCTCCAAGCCCTTTCGAGCTTGCAGTCAACACACCTTTACCTCCACCCAGAAACCTGAAGGAAGTGGATGAAGCTCCCAAAGTGCTGGTGGGGTACACTACTTAATACACAGGCTGATGTATTGTGCACCAGCTTCTGTTTCTAAATGAACTTACAGTGTAGCGCCATAAGGAGTGAGTGGCACATTGTAGTTGTCTAATCCGGAGGAGATAAAGGCATGGATCATGGTGGCTATCCGAAAGAAAAGGTCACAACTTCCTGTGCAGATGTGGACGAATAAAAGCCTTTCTGGGCGCTGCTGCTGAGTTATATGATCACATAACAGCTGGGGATCTAGCAATGCACCTAACTGGCAAGCCTGAGTCACAAGTGTTGGATAAATACCTTCCGTCAGCCGGGTTGATGTAATCTTCACCAGATCCTCCTACTGCTTCCCCTAATCTATCATCACTCTTCCAGACTTAATGACTGAAACTCAGCCAGATTGGTTTTATCCCTGGGTGAAACTGGCATCGCCTGCTAGGGACAGGGTTCCTACCTTTATAGGCTTCTCTACAAATACCTGCCTAGCCAGTGTTTGCTCATGACAACTTTTGGATGTAATGTAAAACCAGGATCCTGAATACTTGTGGTCATTAAAGGTGCCATGGCTCCATTCTTCAGGATTTTAATCCCATGTCATGGCCACATTCCAACTAGGAAATTACATTCTCCAAACCAAAAATTCACATGTAGTTTCAGTATGATATGGTATTCTTCACTTTCTGCCTGTGACAGGGCCACGCTCTGTCCCCATCCTGTGATGCCTTAGAAACTGTTCAGACGCACTTTCTTCTTGGGTGCAGTTTATATTTTATTCTAAACCCACCCACCAACACCCATATAGTGCAACATCACGGTTTGAACCTCTACTTCTTTCAACATTTCTTGGCTAGGGTCCTAGGAGGAAAGGAGGTCTCCCTCTCTCTAGGGAGCTCCTTCAGTCCAGGCTCAGCTAGCTCTCTCCTCAGTAACACCTCCCACCTTTTATCCTGTTGGTCAGCTTGGGGGCTAATTAGTTCCTTACCTCCCCAGCTTCTCCTTCTGATTAGCTCATTATTCAGTCAGACGTTCCGGGGGGAACTAATTGAGGCTTCAGTGATCAGACTGCTGACGCATCTGGCAGATCTCAGTGCTTTGTCCCATTGCTCTGAACTCTTTTGTAGCTGCTCTTTATTTAAAGCCTACTTTCTTTCACCCCCAAAATGACTGCATTTCAATTGGGTGAGTAAAATGATTCTGTCCTATACATATAGTTTTGTAATCAGCAGGTAAAAGTTATTGAGCTTTGGGATCATTTGGATTACATGCACTACAGAAATGTCAGCCAGCGTTGCAGGGGAATTGGTGGGAAGGGGCAAATCTGGTTTTACCGTTCTCTGGAGTCTAGCTATAAAATTATACTGATTTGTCTCCCCCATGGGAGCTTTAATAACACTGACAGAAAATGTCCAAAATACTGGCTGGCCTGCTTCTGCACTTACATATGCTAGTGTAGATCAGAAGATCCTCAGAGGAAAGCTGTTACAGAAGCACAGATTAGTATTTATTATTTATACAAACCTGCTCGTTAGCCTCCTATTTTTGTGTAATTCTGGCAACAGCTGAGAGCAAACAGATCATGTACTAGTGGCAGAAACTTCTGATTAAAAAAGACTAAATGGGAAGGCACAGCTTGTATCTGTTCGTATAAAAAGATTAGGGCAATATGACTCAACTAAGTCGATAAAACACTTATTTTAGAGGGATATAATTTAATTGAGGCTCAGTTTGCACTAATTTGTTATCAAGTTAGTGTGCTTTAGAAAACAATGGTGAAGTCCTGGTTGTTGGAGGAGAGAGGTTTTTGTTAAATTGTGCCTTGACTTGCATAAAATGGGTTTCTTATTGGACTGGCTGGTTTTCAACTCTTTACTATTATTCTTTATTACTAGCGAATCTCTATTCACTCATGAGAAGTATGGAATTGAGACGGAAGTCCTCTGCACATAGAACACTGCAGCATAGGCAGAGGAATTATAGGCTTTTTCCCTCTTCATTGGTCTGCCAGTCTGCTTAGCCCTGCTCTGATGGGGCTACTTCTAAGGATAGAAAGGTTCGGTCTCCGTAATGCATTCTTCCTTTGGCCTTTTCTGCTGAAACCGGTGCAGTTGATTTCTGGAACTTGTAGATCCTGTTTACTCTCTTGCATCCCTCTTTTTACATGTGATGCTGATCAAGATCCAACATGCTGCTTTAGGCCTCTTCCTAAAAGCTGTTACAGTTCTTATTCAATGGTATAGATTCAGAAAAGGCCAAACAGGACCATTGTGATCATCTACTCTGATCTCCTGCATAACACAGGCCATAGGACTTTACTGAATTCATTCCTGTTTGAACCAGAAAAACATCCAGTTTGTTAAAAATGTGCACTTTAGTTCTAGTCTGAGTTTGTCTAGTTTCAACTTCCAGCCATGGCATTTTGTTATACCTTTGTCTACGATACGGAAGAGCCCATTCTGAAATTAAATAAACTCCAACAATCACCTCTGCATCAGAGATACATCCTCATCCGAGATATGATACTGCCTTGAAAAATGTTACATGTATTACATGTTATAAGATCCAAGGTTCAACAACTTCTGGGCCTGGATGTACTAATTACTGTTCTCTCAAGGAACTACAGGTCAGTTTCAGTACTAGAGAAAAATCTCAGGATTATCCTCTGCTCTTTATTTAATACTCAGTGTATTGGACCCACTGCTGGTTTGCTCTCCTTGGAATTTTGTCATGGATGATATAACCCGAGAATTGAACCTCATGGAATGCTAATGATGAAACCAAACCATCTGTAGTTCTGTTTGCAGCTTGGGCACATTACTGTTCTTGAGTGGCAAATAAGTGGAAAGCGGAGGATTCTGGGTAGCTCCTGTCTAACACATCCATTTACACCTATGTAGGATGGGAGTCAAAAAGCTTTTTCTATATCAGATGTAGGTGAATGTCCCTTTGCAATCCAAACTCTTGAAGTGAAACATGGAGCCTGGTTATCTGTTGGGCTCTGCACCTCTTGTTTCTAGAACCCTGAAAATCCATGGATATCTGCTTTATATCCGTGAATATCTGCCTCTGTGATTGTATTGTTTACGTCTTTGCGGATTGGATGCGGATCCAAATTTTTGTATCCACGCAGAGCTCTAGAGCAGCAGTGCTCAACCATGGGTCCACAGTGCCCTGGGGTGTGTTTCTGGTCTGTTGGTTGTTCTCCATGAGGCTGGGCTTTTGGGCTCTCAACAGAGTAGGTAAGCCAGGTCTGTTTGTTCGTGTCTCTGTGAGGATTGAGTCTGGGATCCTTGGGTCTGTGATCAGCTCTGTTTTTTTAAATCTCTGAGTAATTAATCCCTCCCCATTGGTGAGGGAAAGGAGCTGAGCAATGAGGTTTCCCAGAGAAGTCAGTTGCCAGCCAAACTCCTCAGGAGGCAAACAGAAACAGGAGTTTAGACAGGGAGTGTGAAAGGCTTTCATTATAGGTAAAGTTCTACATTTAATACTGTGATGGCCAATGATGCAACAGTGGTTGTGACCTTCAAGGGATGTGCCATGTTTTCTTTCCTGCCTAAAGCCAGAACGGACTTTCTCTGACTGCTTACTTTGCTTAAGAGCCTTTGATGATGGTCCTTGTCAAAGGCTTTCTGAAAGTCCAAGTAAGCTATATCCACTGGATCACCCTTGTCCACCTCTTTGTTGTCCCCCTCAAAGAATGCTAATAGATTGGTGAGGCATGATTTCCCTTTACAAAAGCTGTATTGACTCTTCCCCAACATATTGTGTTCATCTAAGAGTCTGATAATTCTGTTCTTCAGTACCAGGCAAACTAGTTGAAACTATAGTGAAGTTAGGCTTACCGGTCTGTAATTGCTACGACCACCTCTGGAGCCTTTTAAAAAAAATTGTCATCACATTGACTATCCTCCAGTCATCTGGTACAGAGGCTGACTTAAGCTATAGGTTACATACTACAGTTAGTAGTTCTGCAATTTCATATTTGAGTTCCTTCAGAACTTTTGGATGAATACCATCTGGTGCTGGTGACTTATTACTGTTTAATTTATCAGTTTGTTCCCAAACCACATCTATGGACCAATCTGGGAGAGTTCCTCAGATTTGCCACCTAAAAAGAATGACTCAGTTGTGGGAATCTCCATCACATCCTCTGAATATATTTTAAAAATTAATTAATAGAAAAAAGAACAGCTAGTTGGTAGATCTCAAAATATAATTGTAAATGGGTAGTCATCATTAAATGTATGTATTTCTAGTGGACGCCTCCAGGAATAATTTCTTCGCTCTACACTATTTAATATTTTTATTAGTGACCTGGAAGAAAACATAAAATCATTATTGATAAAGTTTGCAGATCACACAAAGATAGTGGGAGTGGTAAATAATGAAGAACATAAAGTCATTGATACAGAGCGAGGCACTTCGCCTGGTAAGCTAGGTGCAAGAAAATAATGTGTTTAAATACAGCCAAATGTAGAGTCCTATCTCTAGGAACAAAGTTTGCAGGCCACGTTTACAGAATGGGGATCTCTCTCCTGAGAAGTAGTGACTCTGGGGGAAAAAAAACCTTGGGGGTCAAGGTGGATAATCAGAAGAACATGAGCTCCCAGTGTGACCCTGTGACTAAAAGGGCTAATGGAATCCTTTGATGTATAAATGGGAATATCAAATAGTAGTGGAGAGATTATATTACCTCCATATTTGGCACAGGTTTGACTGCTACTGGAATATGGTGTCCAGTTCGGGTTTCTACATGTTAAGACAGTTGTTGAAAAATTGAAGACCATTCAGAGAAGAGCCATGAGAATAAATAAAGGATTGAAAAAATGCCTTATAAAGTTCCATGTGAAATCCTGCAGTGTCTGTGTATTCAAATTGAGGGTGGAAGGTGGGAGATAGGCGTGAAACGCTGAGACATTTGGCCAAGTCTTTAACAGTTTTGAAAGTAAGATTAGTTTTTTGTTTTTGTTTTTAAACAGAACTAAGGACAGTATGTATCACGCACTGACATATGCCACCATACTGGAAATGCAAGCCATGATGACTTTTGATGCCCAGGACATGCTGAATGCAGGAAACACAATGAAAGAAGCTCAAGCCACCTGTCAAAAGTAAGTGTGGAGAAGTGCATTGGGCAGTTGGTGCCCTCCTCTGAGAAGTCATGAAAGATTTGTAGATGAAGGAAGGACATGTGCAGTACTGCCAACTCCCATGATTTTATCGTGACTCTAGCAATTTTGGGGTGGCTTTTACCTGTCTCGTGAAAACACGATGCAAGGCACCAACTCACAAAGTTTCCCTTATTCAAAATAGCCACCATCTCCTATTACTGTCAGTGGGGCCGAGGCCAGCAAGATGGCCGCCATTTCCCTATGATCTATTTGCATTGGACGTGAGGCTGCCCTTTATAAAGTTAGCTGCTGCCCCCTATTGTTTTCAGTTGAACTGAAGGCAGGCCCATAGGCAAAATGGTTGCCACTCTATGGGTCTGGGTGCTGGACAGGACGCAGTCAGGGACTGTGAGGAGCAGCAGAGACACTGAAGGGTGGATGGGGAGAGTGTGGGGGAGCAGGAGCAGACTTTGGGAGCAGGAGAGAGGGATGGGGAGGGGATTGTGGAGCATCTGGAGCAGGAGGAGGCAGGTACGGAGATGCAGGAAAGGGGTAGAGTCAAGGAAGTGTTGCTTCAAGCAAAAGGCTAAACCAATCCCATTGTTTTTACTGTGGCATTATTGCTTATATGAATGACTGATATAAGTGTGATCAACTGTGGATTCTGTCTGCACCACTTCTGAATTGTGGATGATTTTATGAAATTGTATCATGGAAATCACTGTGGATGCCCCAGGAATTGAAGAAGAGCTCTGTGTAGTTCGAAAGCTTGTCTCTCTCACCGACAGAAATTGGTCCCATAAAAAATATTCCCTCACCCACCTTATCTCTCTAATATCCTGGGACCCACATGGCTACAGCAACGCTGCATTAGCAGGGTTGTATCATGTCTCTGCCAGCCAGGCCAAAGACAATGGTGAGTGATCATCACACACAGGATTGTGACACTGGATTTGCTCTAGCTGGGTGAAGACCTTTCCTCCATTTATCTGAAGGCGGAAGAGGAGTTTGGAAGTATTGGAAAGTTACCAGGTGGAGAACAAAAGAGTCAGATGTCCCCAGCAGGAGTCTATAAAGGGACTCTTGGGGGAAGTGGAAATCGGGACAGCGCTATCTTGCACCAGAGTAGGATGAGGGAGGCTGCTGCAGGAGCAGGGTAGGCAATATGATAAAAGACCCTGACTGACAGAACACAGATGATCTCCCAAGGGAGGTGAGCTAGTGAGGGACGCAGCGTTTAGAGTGTTTTATTGTTTTGTATGATCTGTACTCTCCTGTGCTTAAGGAGAAAAGAGCCTAAAATTGATAGATTGAACACAGTGGTGTGTGTGTGCATAGGCGCTGACTCCGTGGGTGCTCTGGGGTTGCAGGGGAAAAAATGATGGGTGCTCAGCACCCACCGGCGGCAGCCCCCCTCTCAGCTTTGCCCCCCCAGTGCCTCCCGCCCACCAGCGGGCCCCACAGATTGGCGCCTCCTGGCTGCCGCAATCAGCTGTTTCATGGCATGCGGGGGGGGGGAGCGAGGACGCGGCGCGTTTGGGGGATGGGGCGGAACTAGGTGGGAAGAGGTGGGGGGGGGTTGAGCACCCCCTGGTACTTTTGAAAGTGTGTGTGTGTGTGTGTGTGTGTGTGTGAGAGAGAGAGAGAGAGAGGATATGTAACTGGCTTCACAACTACTGCACACACCTAAAGGAGTTAAATTGTAAACCAGAAGCTTTCCACCTATTGGGCGGAGTTCTGGTAGAGCCGTGTGTTTAAGTATTGAGGGGTCATGGCTGTGTTTAGAGGGGTTAGGGTGGCTGGAAAGCAGGTTCCAACACTCAGAAGGGGGTGTCAGATGGAAGGTCTGCGCCCTGAGAGTGTGCTTAGGGACCCCAAGATTTGGGCAGTGGTTGGACTCCGTTGACGCTCCAGATGCTTAACACATCCCGGGGATCTAGAGCAGCAGAAGCTTGGAGTCGCCTAGTGGGTGGCCATGAAGGGATGGTCTCTAGGATCTCTGACAGTAAGTTTTTGCATAAAACAGTGTCATTATGGAGTATTACAAATACTTTCAATACTTAATTTTTTTGAAATATTTAATTAAGGGGATTCTATAACTGTGCTCCTGAGGGGGCTGCCCACTGGATAGCTGCCCATTTATTTATTTTGATTAGTTATTTCATGCTTATTTGTGAATCCGTCATCTGTTCTTTTATTGCAGGACTACATAAACATGTGAGTTTACTCAAATGTAATGACTGAGCATATTTCTCTTCTGCTCTTGCGTACTATGTACACAATACTCATTGTTGCTTAAGTCCGTCTCTTGACACATTTCTATTCAGCTAAACCGGGAGTTAATATTAAGGTCTTTAATGTGAATATCTGTAATTCATCAACCCAATAAAGTAATACAAGTTCTGTGTGTGAGTGTGAATCATGATGCATTAATTAGGTCAGTGGTACTCAAACTATTTACCATCCAGACCTTCTTTTTATCAAAGCAAATAAACTAGGATGGGAGAGAGTCAAGATAGGGGAACTGCCATCCATTTCCTATTACTATCTTAAGCCTTGTCTACGCTAAAGGGAAAAGTCGATCTAAGCTACGCAATTTGAGTTACGTAAATAGCGCAACTCAAATCGACGTAGCTTAGGATGAGCCGATGTCCTGATTTTATAGGGACAGTCCTGATATTTGAGGCTTTTTTTTATATGGGCTCCTATTACCCTTCACCCCTGTCCCGATTTTTCACACTTGCTATCTGGTCACCCTAAGCTTAGATGTACTTACCACGGGGTCCACACTATGCAAGTGGAGTACAGGAGTCAATGGGAGAGCGATCTGCAGTCAGTTTAGCGGGCCTTCACTAGACCTGCTAAATTGAACGCCGATGCATCAATCACAGCATGGTAAGGGTATACAAGCCCTTTGGGTAAGTGGAGTCTCCATCTGAGCAGATGGAGACGCATGCATTTTTGTGAGCATTAACGGTTGGCTTTTCAACCTGAAATGATCTCTCACACATTGGTAGAGAAGTAGAGTGGAATGAAAGAGTCAAGCGACAGACTATAAATCATGATTTGCTGGAGTTCTTAAAATCTCATGATTTTGGGGGGAGGGGGTCTGACTCATGATTTTTGATCTCTTGAGGTTGGCAATACTACATGTAGTTTACATTTCCTCCTATTAGTAGACAGAATGCAAGGAGAAGACAGGGTGTCAGCATATAAAATTATATACCTGCTATTGGTGAGTTTGCATAGTTGAATCCTGTACAACTCTCTCCTGTTGCTGCACTTCATTCAGCTATTCACTTCCATATTCATTTATGTGCCTGTCTCTCCATTCGTCCACTCATTAGCTCTGATAAATGCTGCCCTTGTAATAAATATAAGTACAAATAGCTATTCATTATGGATTCAAAGCCAAACCACAATGAACAGCCAAATGTGGCTAATTCTGTTATTAATGAAACGTGGATTAGCACAAAATGTTTCTAAACTATTTCATGGAGTAAGACTTTTCTACTTTATTTTGTATGAGTTTGTGAGGGTTACTTAGTATTGGTATTGACCAGTAATACTGCTGATAAACAGTATTCTTCCAACTAGCTGATTGAATATAGGTTCTCTGTTTGAATGCATTTTCTTTTGTAATTTACTGGTGTTCTTCTGGCACTGCAGGGTAATTTCAAATTTCACTACAAAAAGAAAAATGAATAAATTGTAAGTTTAGCAAATTATTGCATATTAGCAGATAGTTTCTTTATTTACACAATTTTCACTGTGTCTCTAATTCCATTTGTTATTTCAGTGAAGGGAACAAGGGAGAAGTGCTGAGGGAGTTAATGGTTGAAATGTAGGTCAATAACTCAAATGGCCCAAGATCTCTTAGATTGAGATCAGGTTGTCAGCCTGAATATTGGTAGAGGTATGCATGGCAGGAACAAATGTTAAATCTTCTCGGGATTTAGCCAATATAGGTTACTGTGTTTTTGGAAATACATGGAAACCTTCGTGCGAGGGCTGCCTTTTGGCCTAGTGAGCTCCTGAGATGGTGAAATCCAGAGGGAAGCGATTGTTAGGCTCTTGCTTATGAAACCTTCTCTTGTTACTGACAATCTCCCAGGTACCATCTCATCACTAATCTTCCTTTTTGGGAAAGATTAATGTGAAGGCTTTAGTAGGCAATTATGGCAACCCCTGGGCAGTGATGAGCTCCCCAAATCCTAAGAACCGGTTCCCTACCGGGTCCTCGGCGGCACTTTGGCGGCGGGGGGCCTTCACTCACTCCGGGTTTTCGGCGGCAGGTACTTCACCCGGAGCGAGTGAAAACCCCACCCCACCCCGCCGCCGAAGTGCCGCCGAAGACCCGGTAGGGAACCGCGCGGTGAGTAGAAGCCCCACGTGCCTGTCTCCTCCCCCACCCATCCGACCCCAACCTACGTCCTGCCCCCGACTGCCCCCATCAGAACCCGCAACCCATCAGCCTCCCCCGTTCCTTGTCCCTGAGACCCCCCACCCTAATTGCCCCCCAGGACCCCTACCCAACTCGCCCTGCTCCCTGTCCCCTGACTGCCCCGACCCCATCCACCACCACCCCGACAGACCCCCGGAACTCCCACGCCTACCCAACCCCCCCCGTTCCTCGTCCCCTGACCGCCCCTCCAGAACCTCCACCCTCTCCAACCGCTCCCTGCCCCTTATCCAGCCCCTCCTCCCAGACCCGGCCCCCTTATCATGCTGCTGTGTAAGGATGCCGCGCGGCCGCTGGAGCTCACAGCCCCACCCCCTTACCATGCCACTGAAAGCGGCAGCGTGGTGCACTGGGGCTCTGTGAGGGGGCGGGGAAGTGGGGGAGGGGCCGAGGGAGCCTCCCCAGCTGGGAGCTCAGGCGGGCCGGGCAGGAGAGTTCCGCGGGCCGGAATTTGCTCACCTGCCCACCCCCTTAGGAACCGGTTCTACACCAGCTTCTAAATTTAACAACCGGTTCTTGCGAACCGGCTCCAGCTCACCACTGCCCCTGGGCATAATTCTGCAAAGTCTTCAGCACTCTCAGCTTCTATTGAAATTCGGGCATGCTGCAAGGCGTCTGTTAGCGCACGTTTTCCCTGAGGGGTTCTCTTAGGGAATTGAGGCTCTTTATTTTGAGGACAATCTTCTTGGTTGCGTTGGCTTCAATAGAGACAAATTCTGATATCCTTACTCACCAGGAGTAGCACTTCACGACTAACCAGATCAATTAATCAGATCTCAGTTGCGTTAGGGTATGTCTACACTACAGTTAAACACCCGTGGCTGGCCCATGTTAGCTGATTCATATCTCCGTCTATGAATTGCCATGACAGTTGCACTTCTCTGAGACCACGCAAGTCACAAAGCCCAGAGTGAATCGCATAAGAGTTGGAGAAAAGCCTTTTTAATTGGAGGGCTCAAGCTGCAGAATGCATTTCCAGAGTGGATGAATCTAGAGTCTGATTGCTTTTAGAGAACACTGCAAAACCTTCCTGTTGGATAGTAGTTCCACCATAATCAGAACAACACTCAACAGCTCTCCTTTCGCTACACACAAACAACCAAGCAAAAAGCCCCTATCCCAAGGACAGCATTCCATGCTTAAGGAATGGACCCCATCAAGTCCTGTGGCAACAGAAAAGTACCTAATCCATTTTACATAGAAGGCTCTCTCTGACATCACAGTGATGGGCAGCAATACAGTACTCCACAGTAGATGTATCTACTCCATGTATAGTCCCATTGAAGTCAATAGGACTAGTCACAGAATGAGGAGATCTTCAATGCGAGTCGGAATCTGTCCTATTTTAGCAGATGTTTAGTGCTGAAATTTTCATTGTCATCCAAGTTTGCTTTGAGGTATGTTACATATGTGTGAAAGTAATGTGTGGCTACACATCGTAGAGTCATAGACTTTAAGGTCAAAAGGGACCATTATGATCGTCTAGTCTGACCCTCCTGCACAATGCAGGCCACAGAATCTCACCCACCCACTCCCACAACAAACCCCTAACCTATTTCTGAGCCATTGAAGTCCTCAAATCATGGCTTAAAGACTTCAAGGTGCAGAGAATCCTCCAGCAAGTGGCCCGTGACCCACGCTGCAGAGGAAGGCGAAAACCCCCCAGGGCTTCTGCCAATCTTCCCTAGAGGAAAATTCCTTCCCGACCCCAAATATGGTGATCAGCTAAACCCTGAGCATGTGGGCAAGACTCACCCAGCCAGACACCCAGGAAAGAATTATCTGTAGTAACTCAGATCCCACCCCATCTAACATCCCATCACAAGCCATTGGGCATATTTACCGCTAATAGTCAAAGGTCAATTAATTAGGTTATCCCATCATACCATCCCCTTCATAAACTTGTCAAGCTTAGTCTTGAAGCCAGATATGTCTTTTGCCCCCAGTGCTCCCCTTGGAAGGCTGTTTCAGAACTTCACTCCTCTGATGGTTAGAAACCTTCGTCTGGCCAGTTTATATCCATTTGTTCTTGTGTCCACATTGGTACTGAGCTTAAATAATTCCTCTCCCTCCCTGGTATTTATCCCTCTGATATATTTATAGAGAGCAATCATATCTCCCCTTAGCCTTCTTTTGGTTAGGCTAAACAAGCTGAGCTCTTTGTCTCCTTTCATAAGACAGGTTTTCCATTTCTCGGATCATCCTAGTAGCCCTTCTCTGTATCTGTTCCAGTTTGAATTCATCCTTCTTAAACATGGGATACCAGAAGTGCACACAGTATTCCAGATGAGGTCTCACCAGTGCCTTGTATAACGGTACTAACACCTCCTTATCTCTACTGGAAATACCTCGCCTGATGCATCCCAAGACCGCATTAGCTTTTTTCACGGCCATATCACATTGGCGACTCGTAGTCATCCTGTGATCAACCAATACTCCGAGGTCCTTCTCCTCCTCTGTTACTTCCAACTGATGAGTCCCTAGCTTATAACAAAAATTCTGGTTATTAATCCCTAAATGCATGATCTTACACTTTTCACTATTACATTTCATCCTATTTCTATTACTCCAGTTTACAAGGTCATCCAGATCTTCCTGTATGATATCCCGGTCTTCTCTGTATTGGCAATACCTCCCAGCTTTGTGTCATCCACAGACTTTATTAGCACACTCCCACTTTTTGTGCCAAGTTCAGGAATAAAAAGATTAAATAAGATTGGTCCCAAAACCGATCCCTGAGGAATTCCACTAGTAACCTCCCTCCAGCCTGACAGTTCACCTTTCAGTATGACACATTGTAGTCTCCCCTTTAATCAGTTCCTTATCCACCTTTCAATTTTCATATTGTTTCCCATCTTTTCCAATTTAACTAATAATTCCCCATGTGGAACCGTATCAAATGCCTTACTGAAATCAAAGTAAATTAAATCCACTAATCTAAAAAATCTGTTACCTTCTCAAAGAAGGTGATCAGGTTGGTTTGGCATGATCTGCCTTTTGTAAAACCATGTTGTATTTTGTCCCAATTACCATTGACCTCAATGTCCTTAACTACTTTCTCCTTTTTTTCCAAGACCTTGCATACTACAGATATCAAACTAACAGGCCTGTAGTTACCCGGATCACCCTTTTGTCCTTTCTTAAAAATAGGAACTATTCTCCAGTCATACGATACAACCCCTGAGTTTACAGATTCATTAAAAATTCTTGCTAATGGGCTTGCAATTTCATGTGCCAGTTCCTTTAATATTCTTGGATGAAGATTATCTGGGCCCCCCGATTTAGTCCCATTAAGCTGTTCGAGTTTGGCTTCTACCTCCGATGTGGTAATACACCTCTACCCCGATATAACGCGACCCGATATAACATGAATTCGGATATAACGCGGTAAAGCAGTGCTCCGGGGGGGCAGGGCTGCGCACTCCGGCAGATCAAAGCAAGTTCAATATAATGCGGTTTCACCTATAACGCAGTAAGATTTTTTTGGCTCCCGAGGACAGCATTATATCGGGGTAGAGGTGTATCTACCTCCATATCCTCATTCCCATTTGTCATCCTGCCATTATCCCTAAGCTCCTCAGCCTCATTAAAGACTGAGGCAAAGTAAATAATAAGAAGACTAGCAGCACAGGGAGCTCAGAATGCTCTGGGAGACTGATCATTAGCCGCATTTTCTACCTGTTCTGTTTCATGGCTCCGCATTTCTAGCGCAATTTAAACATAAAAGGTGAGATAACAGTTGGTGGATGCAAGCTGGAGTGGAGGTGTGTTTGTGGCAGTATGGAAAGCCAGCTAAATGGTATAGTTTTTCAATGATTCCCCTTCTTGTTCAGAATGACCAGACTTGTTTTTCTTTCCCATTAGGTTTAGGAAGAAATCGACTGTAGCTGATTCCTTTAACAGCCTTGTGCATAGACAAAATCTCGAACACTTTACTGAAGGTAAGGTTCCATCTGGCTCATGTAATGGTATTTTTTTTCTGTGCCTTTCACTGATGAGAATATGCAGGGCTAACTTTACAGATTCAATGGTGATGGTGGGTGTTGTTTGGGATCTTTTCAGACACTTACCACTGGATGCCTGTAGACTTTTGGGTGGAATTCAAGATGTTGGGTGTCACCTTTGGGAGAAATTGCCCCTCTCTGTGTGATATTGCCAAAGTGGGAATCAGTGGAGACTCTCGAACTGAAACAGCCTTGATTTAATTGAGAGGGACCCTCAAATCTTCTGCTTGAGCCTGTTAACCTCCAGACATGCTGCAAAGACAATCTTTTCTTTTATGCACTTGTGCATAGTGCAGGATGAGTCTTGGAGAGGATTAGTGATGGGCAGGGTTTCTGCTCTTTTGGGACCAGGAGAGGCCATTTGCTCCCATGAATGCATTTATTGAAAATGTATAAAATCTGAAATTTGCTAATCCCACTAGGCGCTGGTTCTCTGACATCAGTTTCATTACACAGTGTAATTCCAATTCCACGTAGCAATGTTCCAGTTCTAGCTTTGTTTGCATCTGGACAACTCAGTCCATGTAACTGTGTAATTGAATTTAAATGGTTATGTAATGCTCTATTAGATCTCTCTTTATTAAAAAACGGCCATTTCCTTGATAATAAAAACTGAATGTGTGCATACACAGTACACTATAATAACTCATCAAGGGCATGACGCACAATTGGACTAAATGAGATAGGGTCATGTGATTAAAAAGCTTAGCACTATTGCACAACATCTAGGAGGGAAATAATACTAAATTATTTTTGTCTCATGATCTTGTCCGTCACTTAGGGCTGGTCCACACTAAGCCCCCAGTTCGAACTAAGATACGCAACTTCAGCTACGTGAATAACGTAGCTGAAGTCGAAGTATCTTAGTTCGAACTTAAAGGTACTTACCGCGGGTCCACACGCGGCAGGCAGGCTCCCCCGTCGACTCCGCCTACTCCTCTCGTGGAGCAGGATTACCGGCGTCGACGGCGAGCACTTCCGGGATCGATTTATCGCATCTAGACAAGACGCGATAAATCGATCCCAGAAGATCGATTGCTTGACGCCGAACCAGCGGGTAAGTATAGACGTACCCCCAGATTGTATTTGGTCATGGAAACAAGAGTGTGTGTGTGTGTGTGTGTGTGTGTGTATTTCAGTCAGTGTAGACAGACCCTCGCAAAATAGTTTAATAATTTGCTGAACAGGATCTCATGACTATCAGAGGAATCAACTCTTAAGGATGGGAGGTGGAAAGTAATTACAGTATTGCCTACATGTGTAAAAATCATGAGTTAAGTATCAAAAAATCATGAGATGGGCATAAAAATAATGAAATTTACTAAATATTAATATTGGGATTCTTATTTGTCTTCTGGTGTCTGAGCCTTTAGAGTGCACTCAGATCAAGTTTTCAGACTTTTCTCTATAAGCACAAGAGCTAGAAACGTAATGAAAAAGAAACAAAAAAACCCTGACATTCCCACATGACTCCAGGAGCCTGGGCTTAAAATCCCTGCACCAAATATCACAGGACTCATAAATAAATCTAAAGAGTTGTCAAAACTGTAATACTGCATAAAACAAGCTGAACGTGATCTCTGAAGGAAATACAGTAAGGAGACTCAGCCTTGGGTTGGACTACATTTAACATGTGGCTTGTGTTGTATAGAGCTACGTATGTTGGACCATGCATTCAATTAAAGTAAGATTGTAGTATTCAGTGATCCATTTCCAAAAACTAAACCAGCATTTCAGATCTTTGGGCCCTTCTTGTATAAGATCCAGTTACCCAGCATTCAGATGTGGTATTTTCTTTCTTTCTTTGTATTAATTCTATTTGCTAGGGGGTTGGTTCAAGAGCTTAAAGTGGGCACAACCCACATGTTCATTCTGGAGCCACAGTTGTTTTTATCTTTTGTGACCATCCTCTGTCCAGTTGCTGTTGTGCATCATTATAGCCTCCTGCCTGATGTGGGAGGGGCACAAAATAAAGCTCTTCCCTCAAGACCTCCGTTAATGCCACCCAACTAATCTGTTGATTGATGCAGGGCTGACCTATGTGCTTTGCATCTCAGGACGGAAAATGTTTTTGGCTGCCCCACAAGTAGCTGAGTGTGTGTGTGGGGGAAACAAAACAAAAGAAACCCCCCAAAACAAAATTGCTGAGTGATGTGGCCCCTTCCCGCCCCCTCCATCTGTTGATCTGGTGCCCCTGGAAGTTGGTGCTCAGGACGACTTCCCTGAATAGAGGGAAGTGCTTAGGAGTGGTTCACACATCTCTTCCCCAGCTCCTGTTTCTTAATCATGTAAAGCACGGGCAAGTATAGATCACACAAAATAATAAACATCTGAAACTGCAATATCCCTCACTTTCTATTTCACCCTTCCCTTGGGAGCCGTGGTTCTAGGAAGGCAGGCAGGGAGGGTGTCCCCTGCCTCCTGCCGGCTGTTACATGGGTGAGTGGTCGCTCCCGCATGAACTGGAGAACATGGCTGGCCGCTAAGCAGACTAGCCTCTACCCTTTTAAAAACCTTCAGTGCCCTGTGTCAGGTCACACCTTTGCCAGTTCCCCACATGAGCCCAAACTCCTGTCTGATGACTTTGATGCCAAAGTGACTTGCCCCCTGCTAAACTAGTTTTCCTGGGCAGGGGATCATTCTTTTGTCTAATGTGAATAGATTTCCAATGATTGGGTATCCTCTATTGTTGTCCTTTTGTTACCAGCCTTCGGAATTTTCAACCCAACACGGAGGCAAACAGCATAGAGAAGGCAAAAGGCTGCATATTCAGAATGGAGTGTGCAGCTTGACATAGGCACACAGGGTTCATAATCTCATACAGAATTCATAAATCATACATATTCCCTATTCAGTACAGGAGTGTCAGAACCAGGATTAGAATTCAGGTGGGACAAAGCATAAGAACGGCCGTACTGGGTCAGACCAAAGGTCCATCTAGCCCAGTATCCTGTCTACGGACAGTGGCCAATGCCAGGTGTCCCAGAGGGAGTGAACCTAACAGGTAATGATCAAGTGATCTCTCTCCTGCCACCCATCTCCACCCTCTGACAAACAGAGGCTAGGGACACCATTCCTTACCCATCCTGGCTAATAGCCATTAATGGACTTAACCTCAATGAATGTATCTAGTTCTCTTTTAAACCCTGTTCTAGTCCTAGCCTTCACAACCTCCTCAGGCAACGAGTTCCACAGGTTGACTGTGCGCTGTGTGAAGAAGAACTTCCTTTTATTTGTTTTTAAACCTGCTGCCCATTAATTTCATTTGGTGGCCCCTAGTTCTTATATTATGGGAACAAGTAAATAACTTTTCCTTATTCACTTTCTCCACACCACTCATGATTTTATAGACCTCTATCATATCCCCCCCTTAGTCTCCTCTTTTCCAAGCTGAAAAGTCCTAGCCTCTTTAATCTCTCCTCATTTGGGACCCTTTCCAAACCCAAGCTTGCTTGTGCCATCTTGCCAAAGTGCCTCTCCTTGGCTTGGAGGTAACTCTTCTAGAGTGAGACAATAGACTGGTCTCCATGCCCATTTGGGTCCCCGTTCAGCAAAGCACTTAAATACATGCTTGACCTTCAGTATGTGACTTATCCCATCTCTATGCAGTATAGCACTTTAGTTTAAATGCCTCGGTGGATAGGGATGGGATGATTTAAATGCTTAAAATTAAATACTTGCTTTGTTGAATAGAGCCTTCATCATTATTTCTCTGCTGAGACTGCTACAATTTCTGGTGATAATCATTGCATTCTAGACCCCGCTCTGCCAAGATCTGGGCTGAGACCCCCACCGAGCAGCCACTTGGTAACAATTTTGTGTCACTATCACTTGGGGTTAATTCAACAACCTGGAAGAAACAAAGTCTGATCAGATTTTCTTTTTGAGGTTTTCTCACCCTTTGCATTTATTGTATTCTGTTTTCCTATTTGGGGGTATAATACTACTTTAATTAATCTGTTGTCTGATTGTGTCTTTTCCCTCTCCCACCCCCACCCTTTCACACTAGAGGAAATTCATGCAGAAATTTGCTATGCTGAATGCTTGCTTCAGAGAGCGGCTCTCACATTCCTGCAGGTACAGTACCACCCGTTATGGCTGTTTCATGAAAGCAGGAGGGGAACAGGAGGTTTTGGAAATCAATTGTATACAGATGGAAATCTTTATGTGGGACATTAAAGTGCACATTTTCATACACCCATGCAAGTGACCCAGGTCAAGTCTACTGGACCAAGTCTCTGGGCCCACATCCTCCAGTGGTTCTCAAACTATTGTACTGGTGACCCCGTTCACATAGCAAGCCTCTGAGTGCGACCCCCCCTTATAAATTAAAAACACTTGTTTATATATTTAACACCATTATAAATGCAGGAGGCAAAGCGGGGCTTGGGGTGGAGGCTGACCGCTCGCGACCCCCCTCCCCGTAATAACCTCCTGACCCCCAGTTTGAGAACCCCCACTTCAGGGTATTTAGGCACCTAACATCCATTGAAATTAGTAGGAATTAGGTGCCTAAGACGTGGGCCTTACTTCTTGGTCTCAGAGTGCTGTGGAGGCAGCTGCAGTCCGTGTGGGGGGGAACACTTTGCAGCTCTCTCTAGCACCCCCTCTGCATGACTTAGGAGTGATGTTGATGTACTTGGAAAGGAGTTGTCCTCACATTCTTCGGCTGGGTGGAAGGTCCCTTCAGTAAGCGTGGCAAGTGTATGAATGGGGGTGGGATAGCATGGAAGAGAAACAAAGGTCATTGGAGTTGTAACATGCAGAGGAACTTGTTCCTCTGCTTCTCCCCAAATCCAATGAGTAATCAAAGGGCTGGTCTACACTGGAGGGTGGAGGGGGGGTGGATGTAAGATACGCAACTTCAGCTACGGGAATAGCGTAGCTGAAGTCGACGTATCTTATTTCGACTTACCTCGGGTCCTCATGGTGCGGGATCGACGGCTGCAGCTCCCCTGTCGACTCCGCTACCGCTGCTCGCCCTGGTGGAGTTCTGGAGTCGACGTGAGCGTGTTCGGGGATCGATATATTACATCTAGATAAGACGTGCTATATCGATCCCCGATAGATCGATTACTACCCGCCAATTCAGCGGGTAGTCTGGACGTACCCAAAGTAATGAATCTACATTAACAAGGTTGTTCGTTGTTGTTGTTCTTGAAGGGCTGTCGCCCCTGGACGTTCCACTGATTGTTGTTACTAGTTAGTGCTGAATTGTGTTATGGGAGAAAAAGCGTTGCCTCTCTCTTTCTCCGTGTAGCTTCTGGTGTCTTCTGTTTAGAGTGTAAAAGCTGGGCTTGCCCCAGGAGCTAATATCGGCAGCTCTCAGCTGAACTTCAGTCTGTGGTTAAAGCAGGTGAATGAGAGTTGCAATTCTTAATTTCTATTCCTGACTCAGGGCTAGTCTACACTGACAATGCTAAAGCGCTGCCATGGCAGCGCTTTAACGTGGCTTGTGTAGTCACGGCAGAGCTCTGGGAGAGAGCTCTTCTAGCGCTCTAAAAAACCGCCTCCCCGAGAGGCGCCGCTCCCAGTGCTAGTGCACTGTTGACACTGGCGCTTTACAGCGCTGAAACTTGCTGTGGTCAGGGGCATGTTTTTTCACACCCCTGAGCGAGAAAGTTGCAGCACTGTAAAGTGCCAGTGTAGACAAGCCCTCAGTTGCATCTCATGGTGTGGCGGACAAGTCACTTAACCTCTCTGCCTCCCCATCTGTGAAGAGGAGATAATCAAATTTACCAGCTTTGTAAACTGATTTGATATCTGTGGCTGAAAGGCACTACATAGTGCTGGTAGTGTTCTTAGTATCTTAGGAACGGGACATTTACGGCAGCGATGTTGGCCTTAACTGGTATGTTTCTTTTTAAAACCATTCATGCATTAGAGAAAGGGCATAACTTCTGCCTCCTCTGCATAAAGAAGGCCCTGTTCATGTGCTCCCTCTTCTCACAACATGTCTGTACAGCGTTGCTTAGGCTGGGATGCACAAGACATCATTCATTTTCTGTTTTACGGTAGCTTTTTAATTTCTCATGGAGGCAAGAACTAGTTTTAAAAATTAAATGAAGGTGCTTTACCTCTTATACTTACTAAGAGTTTTTAAAGTGGTTACTTTAGATGCTTAATGAAGATTACCAAAACACTGTAAAAAGCCACTTTGCCCTTTTCCCAGGAAGTACAAACTACAGTGAAAGCTTTGTTATCTGGTATGTTGGGGAGATGGGGGCTGCCAGTTAGCCAAAAATTCTGGTTAACTAAGAGTTGTACTTACCAATGGAGGGGAGGGAGTTTGGGTGCGGGAGGGGGCTCAGGGCTGGGAGTTGGGGCATGGGGTGTAGCTCTGGGAGAGAGTTTGGGTGCAGGCCAGGGCTCAGGGCAGGGAGTTGGGGCGTGGGAGGGGTTTCGGGGTGCCAGATGTGGGCGGCACTCACCTCGGCAGCTCCCTGCAAGCGGCGACATGTCCCTGCTGCTCCTAGGTGGATATGCGGCCAGGTGGTTCTGCGTGCTGCCTCTGTCCACAGGCACTGCCCCTGCAGCTCCCATTGGCCATGGTTCCCAGCCAATGTGAGCTGCGGAGCCAGCACTCAGGGCAGGGGCAGCGCATGGAGTCCCGTGGCCATTCCTCCACCTAGGAGCAGCAGGGACATGTCATCGCTTTTGGGGAGCCACGAAGAGCCAGGTAGGGAGCCTGCCGGCCCCGCGCCAACTGGACTTTTAATGGCCCGGTGTGCGGTGCTGACTGGAGCCACCAGGGTCCCTTTTCAACCAGGTGTTCCGGTTGAAAACCGGACACCTGGCAACCCTATGAAGATTTATATTGGGAGATATCAGAAATGCCGGTTTCTAGAGCTTTCCAGTTGGTAAAGTGCCGGATAACACACATTTTACTGTATTGACAGTTCAAAGGCTTTTGGTTCATAGCATTTGTTTCTTTCTATGATAGAATATTCTATCTACTGAATTCAGGTGAAATACATAGAGCATGGATGCCACTCAGCAACTGCTTTCTCAAATCCGCCTCAGGGTTTCCCTAGGAGATTGATATTCAGGCATCTCTTGTAGCATTGATTCTTTTCATTCTTAGCAATGACCTTTCTGTGACCTTTCTGAATTTCTGGGCTGAAACTGAAGTAAATGTCCTGTTTCTGAAACCTTCCCCCAGCCACTAAACAGAAAGCAGCCTTTAAACTAGTATGTATGATGCCCTGTGGAACCCTCCAGTTGAATGATGGAAATAAACATTTGCTCTATGGAACAAAAGTAAACAGGGTCACATTGTTCTGTAAGCATTTGCTGCACCATGATTTGGATTAAACTCTCTGGGGACATATTATCATACCAGGAGTGACACTCTCATTTATACTGCACAGCTTCTCTCTCATCCATCGCTAATGGATAATGCCCCTCACTGTGGAATTTGCAGGTGGTTCAGTGTTGTTGATGGAGGCTCTGGGACTAAGCCCTGCCCTTCAGCGCAGGCTACCAGATTTTCTGCCCCCAGGAGCAGACCAAGTTGGCAGTTCAGTTTCTTCTAGCCATTTTGTTTTCTAACTTTAATTTCTATTTATTTTTGTGCGGTAGTGACTTCATTTCAGCATCTAGCTCCTCTTTCCCTCTCCTGAGGTGAAGAATCTCTGGAGTATAGACGCTCTCACCCTCTGGTTTCTCTGGCACAGTACCTCTGAAGTGAGCTCCCTCTGCCCTTCACTGCAGCAGCAGACACAGAGTCAAGTGTGTGAGTTGTTATAGGCAGCTTCTCAGGAGCCTCAGTGGGCCTGGTATACCCACTGACCCTTGTGCTGCCAGAACATGAGCTTTGAGTTGGAGAGACCTGTAGGGCCTTGACCGCCTCCTGAAATCTCTACTCCCCTGTGGAAGGCTTCATACCCATTCATGGACAACGTGCCAATTGGTACCCTGTCGAGAGAAATGGACCAATTCATAATATGCCAGCTGCTGGAAAGGATACATACCCACCGGTGGCTCAAAAATCGAGAAGAACTTTTTGAACCCAGTGCAGAGAATTGCTCACCCATGGGTCAAAACTACTTGGCTCTGGCCATAATTTTCCTATCATGGTAAAGATTTGCAAAGATCCAAAACATCATTGTATCATTCATTTCCTGGCAGTGGTCATCTCTAGCCAATTGGCACCAGCAATCCTACCTGTAGGAGATAAGTACTGGCTTCATCTCTGAATGAGATTTTTCAAAATGCACCCTCCAGATATTTCTTTAAGGACATGGAACCATTTACTGGGTACAATACAAAATTAGATGTCCCTCTAAGATCACCTTCGAAAGTCCATTTGTGGGCAGGTAAGTACAACCAACATGCTCAAGCAAGCCTCTCAAGGTGGAGTGCATACATGGATGACAAATTGTCAAAAATTTAGAATCCACATTCATTTAATTCACTTAGATACACCACTGACAGAGTTGTCAGAGTGAAAACATATACACATGACTGCATAGTTCAGACCAGTGGTCCATTTAGTCCAGTATCTCATCTATAATTGTGGCCAGAACCAGCTGTTTCAAAAGAGGGTGCAAGAAACCACATTGTGGACAATGATGGTGCTCATAGGGGAAGTTTCCTGCTACCTCCCATGTAAATGTTTGTTTAGGATTGAAGCATCAGTGTCTATATCCCTTTCAAAAATAAGGAGTAGCCCGGGGTCAAAGCTCCTCTGTCCAGGATATTCTTTCCATTGGCACAGAGAAGAATCTGCTACCTTTCAAGACAGGTTGCATAAAGGATACAGAAAAGAGGGAAAGGGTCTCCCCATAGTCCTCCAATGACCCAAAGGCACTCTGAACTTGATAGACAGCCCCGGAACCTCCATTGCACCTGCAGAAAACACCAGGCCTCTTTAAGCAGGGACTCCTTCATCCAGACCTGGACCACCTACAGTTACAGCCTGGACATTGGAAGAGAAAGTGTAATTCAGCGGGGATTTTCCGTTAGCCTCATTGAGAAATTTTGATATCCAGAGAGAACTCAACAAGGAAATTTCACTCCTTGATCTGGTCACATTACATTTCTGGTGTGAAGGGAAACAGAAAGCATTTTGGGAAACACTGTCCTTTTTTTTGTACAGTGCCCAGCACAATGGGGCCCAGGCCCAGATGTTGCCATAATACAAATAATAATCATAGAACTGTAGGGATGGAAGGGACCTCAAAAGGTCATCAAGTCAAGCCCCCTGTGCTGAGGCAGGACCAAGTAAAACTAGACCATCCCTGACAGGTGTTTGTCCAACCTGTACTTCAAAACCTCCGATGAAGGGGATTCTACAGTCTCCCTTGGAAGAATATTCCAGAGCTTACCTACCCCTACAGTCCTATTTTCACTGGATATGGAGAATAATTGATTGCTGTCCTCTTTGTAACAGCCCTTAATATATTTGAAAACTATTACCAGGTCCCCGCTCAGTCTTCTTTTCTCAGGACTAAACATGTCTAGTTTATTAACCTTTCCTCATGGGTCAGGTTTTCTAAACCTTGTATCATTGTTGCTGCTCTCCTCTGGACTCTCTCAAATTTGTCCACATCTTTTCTAAAGTGTGGCACCCAGAATTAGATTCAGTACTCCAGCTGAGGCCTCACCGGCGATGAGCCGAGCAAGACAACTATAAAATTCTGTTGATATCGGCTACACTAGAGGTTCTCCAGAATGGTTGATGGGAGTCCTACACAACCAAGCACCGTAGAAAAGTGGGAACCAGCCCTAGCAACATTCTTTAAAAAGGCACGTCGGACTCCCCACCTGAGCATCAGATGTCAAGATTAATCAGGACGACAGATTAGACAAGCCTGTGTCTGGCTTTTCCAATCACTATTGCCTCTGAAAAGCAGGTTTTTGAATTCGTTTCTCTATCTATACAAGAGCCACACTGCTATTGTCATGAAAAAAATGCTATAGCTCCAGAAACTTTTCAGTTCGATGTAAATTCTTCTTTCCATGGTTCCTAGGAAATAGCTCTCCCACCTTTTTATTCCAATCCTTGGGAAGGTTGAGACATAAATGGGCATTCCTAGCATTCTAAAGATATATCTCAAGTATATTGAGGACACACACAGAGTTCATCTCATTCCCTCCAAAATTCACTGCCTTCAGACCTCAAAGTTGCAGCAGACAAGATATTAAAATCCCACAGCAGTTGGCGTACTAGGCATCTGGAAAACTATTTATGGAGTAGGAATCCCCCAAAGTGCATGAGCTTCATCTGAGGAAGTTTTGCAAAATAAGTTTCCATTCTTGTGCAGACACGTCCTTTGGTAGAAAGGTTCCCTACTGGACTGGCTCCTTTAAATTACAAAATTCTTGCTTTTAAAGGTGGGGCAAGGGAGATAATTTCCATTCCTGACTAGTATTCTACTATAATAATTACAACTCTGCTTATCCTCCCCCACCACTTCTTTGATTCACTGCTCGTTATTTTCCATTAATGATGAATGTGGAGAGAAGCTGTGCAGCAGAATGAAAAATTTCTTGCCTGATAATTTTCTTCCTGTTAGCAGCTTCTCCCCTCATTCAGACCACCCGGGTAATCTGGTAAATGACTGGAATACAGTTGGTAACAAATTGATTTTTTTCTCTAAAGGGAGACTTAAACATAAATGTAATTCATATATTCTATCAAGCTGTTGTCTTGATGCTAATATTGGATTCCTGGAGTGTTTCTTCAGCTTTTTGAAGCACTCTTTTGCTGGCCTGAGTTGAAGGGCAGGGCTTAGTCCTGGAGCCTGCAGCAACATTGGCTTGCCTCCGTATTCCACAGGTGGGGGGCATTACCCATTAGTGATGAATGAGGAAAGAAGCTACTAACAGAAAATTATAAAGCGGTTTCTCATCTGTTGAGTCATAATTCTTAACTCAAAGGCCCTACATATTTTATCTTGCAGATTCCATGTTTCTTATATTTTGTAATGCAATATCTGAGCATTTGTTACATTGCTTTTTATGGCTGTGCTACACACTTACCATTAACATATTAACACTCAGTAGCAAAAAGAGAGCACATCCAACGTACCTTGTGTTTTTCATGAACCCAAATTGCATCCTGCAGGATCTGGTGCAGGCAGTCAGCTGTTTGTAGCGGGTGCTGAGCCAGGGAATGTGTGAATCTTAACCGTGCTGAAGGACAAATGATTCAAAGCTCGTTGCGTTCTTTTAAAACAGCCACAGCTGTTTGTACTATAGGTGCCACTTTTTGCTAACAGCAACAAGGGACAATGTGGCTCTATTCCTGTGGTCATTAATGTGGACTAAAGATCCACAGCTCAGAGTTAAAGCAACTAAACACAGAAAGCATGAAAAAAAATGATATTTTAGGACAGTAAAAACAAAAATTAGAAAAGAAATCCTAAGTCTTAGCCATTTACTGCTCCATAGAGACTCATCCTGTCTGATTCATCTTAAATTGTTTTACTCACATCTATTAATTTCCAGAAAGCAAATGCATTTTAAATTGCTCAGTGCTAATGTGTTTCCCTTCCACCAGGATGAGAACATGGTTAGCTTTATCAAAGGAGGCATCAAAGTCAGGAACAGTTATCAGACATATAGGTAAGTAGGCCTGAATTACTGTATTATTATCATACCAGATGCCCATCTGCAGTAAAAAGACTCTGGTGGGAGGGGGTGTCTCTCAGAATTAGCATTGTTGTTATTTATTTACTTAGGCACATAGTTATAGCTTACACAATCTTCAAAATCTAGGAGCATGAGTAATTTTCAACCCATGCAGATTGGGATACGTGGTCCCCCTCAGTTCACTCCTAGAGAACATGGATTTCATACTGATTGGTGGCTAGCAAGTGAGCCACATCCACATGCAGATGCTGTTTATGTCAAACCTCCTCCCTCAGTCCTAAAACCAATCAAACAAAAACATCTTGAGTAGCTTTCAACTTGTCAGACAACTTGTTTCCTCTGTACTGTTCTATGCACATGCTGCCTTATGTTTTCCGCCTGAATAACTTTATTTAGATTATGGAAAAAACAGCCAGGCAAATAAGAACAAAAGCAAAGTCACTCACAGAGCTCAGTGTGTCCTCTGTAACATGCTGCATCATCCTGCCACACAATAGTGCAGACAGCTCTCCTAGAAATGTTAAAGGGATATGGAATTCTCCTTTTTAAAGCACTCATGACAGTAGAGAGTGCAAGTTCATAGGTCCATCGTTCGAAAGATGACCATGTAAGTCTACCAAGCTGGCTTCTCTCTCCATTTTTGCAAATACAAGAGATGTTCTCCTTAGTTCATGTACACATAAATCCCGGTATATTTCCTGTTGTTTGCATGGTAAAGAATTTGCCCTTCACATGTTCAGTCATGGCATGCTTGCTTAGACGCCTGGTTTGTTAAAGTTTTGCACATGTGGAAAGAAACTGTTCTCTACTGTACTAATGAATAGAAAAAAGAAATGAGACCTTTTACCACTTCCATGGTTAACAATAGCTTCTGGCTACTTTCATCTATCTAGATTAGATGAGACTTCAGAGTTACGACTATAATTGTTATATTTCAAAATGACTGGTCAGCTTTCATACTGAATTGGGCTAAATATTTACCCGGTCATCCATGTATTCTGTAATGTTATCTTCTGTATTGTTAGGGAACTGGACAGTCTTATACAGTCTCCAAACTATGTTAAAGGAAAGAACTATCTCCACTTTGAAGGAGGCGTAAAGCTTGGTGTTGGAGCTTTCAACCTGGTATGTAAAAGAAGTCTTCACTAAGGCCCCACTGCTGTAAACACTTACAGACATGCTTAACTTAAACACCTGCGTTCTACTGAGTTTAATGGAACTGCTCACGTTTGAAGTTAGAAGCGTGCAAGTATTTGCCGCGTCCGGCCCTCTGCTGGTTTACAGCATCTGCAGATACTAACATGATTAAGAAAGATCAAGGGTGAACATACTACACGTAAAAGAGAAATAGAGAGGAACTGCTATGGCCATGATCCTAGAGTTCACTGGGTGCAAGCACTCCTTTGCATTTGCATGGAGCTCTGCTGACTTCAAGGAGTCTCTGCATGAGAGCAAGCGTCTGCCCGTCCAACGTTCATTGTAGGATTTGGGCCTGTGTTAGTACTTACTGTGGTCAGGACAAAGTAGCATGCTGTGCCACTTGAGTAACCTGAGCTGTGATCAGTAATTCGACTGTGGAAAGAGCTGATCGCAGTTCAGTCTTCACCTGACAGCTCCCTGCATGTTTACAATACCTAAAGCTTACAGAAGATGTGTCTGAGACCCCTCTGTGATTGAACTGAAGTACACTGCCTTTGATATGGAATCCTGCAGGCAAAAGGCACCATCCCCAGTCACTGCCACTTCTCCCAGCCAGGGATGGCAAATCAGTTTGACTGAAATAAGAACTAACCAGAACCTAATCTGAACAATTTTTAAAGTTCATAAGCTTAAATTGACTTCTTTGGAGGGGCGGAGGTGGGCAGTGAGGGGAGGTTGGTATGCAGGTGTCTGATTATTTTTGTGCACTTTTCTATGTCTTGGTTTCATCCCACATCAGAAGTGAAAGTACCAGTATGCTGTGAGAGAGAGGATGCTTTTACTGGTGGTATTTTTAAACAGTAACAAGTAAGATTTGGATGTAATGGCTTGTTAGGCCAGTCCACCCTAAGCAGGTCCTGGGAATGCCATAGCCTGCTGGCATGGTAGGAAGAAGCATCAGTGCTTTCACCCTAGTCCACTGCTCAGATTTGAAATCAGAATGTTCCTTCTCCTAGACAGACTTGCCTAAAGAGGCTTAGCGAGCCCTGTCTGCCCAGGGTTGAAATCAGAATTTCTTTCCTGCTAGATTCAGTTAATTCATAGCATGTTATTCCATAATATTTGGTGCAACACTTCTGGATTGGGGTAACAGACATCAGAAGGCAGGAGACAGTAGAGAGAGAGTTCTTTGAAAGCTGGCAGGTGTAAAGGGGAATTTATTTTAAGACAAATGAAGTTAGAAGGAGAGAAGGATCTGAGATCAAAGGGTTTGACTATAATCTAAAAGATTACAATGGTGGGGACACTGCAGAAGGGAAACAGATGATAGAATGCCAAGGAAAATAATGCAAAAGCAGCAAAGGTCAGTCAGTCCTAGACGCTGGCTACCAACTAGATGGCAGGATCATATGCAGCAACATGACCAGGTGGCACTTAATGGAGGAACAAGCTAAGGACAGGAATAAATATCAATGCTGTACTGCTCCCCAGATGCTTTGGGATGAGAAGCTGATTTCTAAACTGGCCAGAAGCAGGAGTACCAGATAGTTTGTGCGCAAGTCTGATTTTGATTCTGCGTGTGTTCAGCCCCGTGCTCAGAAAAGCTTTACGTAAACTGTGACTATCAACAGTTAGAAACCAAGTCGCAGCAGACGCAATCTGATTATGCATGAATTGTTCTCATACTTCTTAAAAAAGTATAGCTGATTATTTCCGCAGCATCTCCTTTAGTGTGTTCTTTTAGTGTCTCTCCCTCCCATAATGCATAGGCATGACTCCCATTAAAACAATAAGAAGAAAGAATGCAAACTAAAATGGTGGTTATTACTATTAATATTGCCTTACTGGCTATCATAATACTGGGACCCCAGTTTATTTGATATACTTTATAAATGCAGCTCAGATGTTCTCTGTCACTTTTTTCCCCAGAAGCATAGTTCCTTCTCTTTTTTTTTAAAAAAAGGGGATAATTTTTATTTTTTTTTAGCACTGACTGTTTTAAACTTGCCTTTCAATTGTTAACAGCAAAAGCAACATTATGTAAATATTTGAAAATCTCATTGATTTACACTCCACTTGGTTCAAATGCTACTGTAAACATTTCATTGTTTAGTTGTAGGAGTTAGTATTTACTATACAGGCAGTTGCATAACAAGAACTGAATCCGTGTCAAATGTGTGTTCCTTTTGTATACAGTACTTTAATATAGGGGTAGTATCAGTTTTCCTATTTTATAAACTGGTGGCCTAATCCGGAGTTCAATGAGATTACTTAGAGTAATAAGAACTATACCCAGTAGTAAGTGTCTGTACGATCAGATTCGTGGTTGGTTGGTTTGTTCTGACACAAGGACCTGTTTCTTGGAACAGTGTAGTGGACTCCAAAAACTGATCCATGTAACACATAGATAGCGAGTATCCTGCTTGATGGATCTGGCAGACATTTAATTTCTGTAGTTCCCATCGAAATAATCATTAAAGCGCTGCAAAATGCAGCAACCAGTGTTGTCCGGAGTTGCTGTTAGTTTTACCTAGGAAACAGGGGTTTACATATTTACTGTGATACTGAGGCTGATACAGTTCTGTTTAATCCTTGAGGATACATGAGATACAACAAATAGCTGAGAGGCATATACATCTACACAAGAAGACTTGGGGGTACATAATTAGGCTTTTAATGATTTTATTGATTGCCTTTGGGGTTTGGAAAGGTCATATCCGACATCCTGGGGTTGAGAGAGAGGAGAATACCAATTCCAATTACTGCTCAGCTTATTTGTTTCTTTCCACAGACATTGTCCATGTTCCCAACACGGATTCTACGATTACTGGAGTTTGTTGGGTTTTCTGGAAGCAAGGTAAATATCACTCATTTGATAAGATTGTAATAAATGTGGCTGATACATTACAGCCGGAATCTGATTCCCCACCCCACCATTCTAACATTCTTTGAAATGTGAGTATTGCAGGGGGGTTTTTTATCACTGGAGCTGACGTTACTGCTGCTCAAGGATTTTTTTCTTGGTCTTTTTAAAAAATAAAAAAAAAATTGTAAATATTTTAAAATTGAGGACAGTGACATGATGTTTGGAAAATACAAGAAAGATAAGAAGCAACAGTTCAAAGTATAATATTGAGATTATTATTATTTATTTATTGGATTGCAATAGTGCTTAGAAGCGCTATTTGTAGTTGATATTGAGTTAATTTAATTGGTCGGGACGCGGGACAAAGAAGCAAATATCGGGACAGTCCCGATAAAATCGGGACGTCTGGTCACCCTAGTCTTAAATGCAGTTTGGCAATGGGTCAAAAGGCAGAATTATTGACATAGAAGGCAGGAAATTAGACTGATGGGGTCAACTTGGAAGGATATTTGTGCCAAATCAGTTGTGCTGAGTATCAGTTTTGACGTATGTCTTAATTTGTAATTGAGTTACCATTTCCCCCACTAGAAATCCTCTTATCTGGCATTTTCCGCTCTTCTGCAAACACTAAGCCAAAGTTAACTCCAAAGTGATCTTGCATAACACATTCAAGTGCTGTCTGCTTTGTGCCCAATTTAATTAATCAATTATGTAGATAAGCTAATGGTAATATCCATCCTATTTGATAAGCTTGTGGTCACATGGCCAAGTCATGAGACAAGAAAGGCAACTCTGTGTTTTGCTTTCTTTGTAAAGACCCTTAATTAAAAAAATGTGATTAAAAAGTTGTTTGAAGCTTTGTTGTAGCCATGTTGGTCCCAGGATCTGACACACACAAGATAGGTGAGATATCATCTTTTATTGGATCAGTTTCTGTTGGTGGAAGGGACAAGTTTTCGAGCTACACAGAGCTCTCTCTCGGGTCCCCAGTTGTTCAAGTAGTTTCACTTCAAGGAAGCAGATGTAGTTTAGTTAAACTCCCAGCTGAAATAGGAATAAGCCGTTGTGAGGTTTCTGAATGCTGCCCTTGTCCTCCCCACATTGCATGGTCTCTGTGCATCTGAGGAATCTCGAATAGCATTCAGATGGCTAGCAGCTAGAATTTAACTACTTGGATATTAGTTCTCTCTTTTATTTTGCTGACTTGGTAGGGAATCAATAGGGTATTGAATGTTGTATGCCCCACATAACATAGGGTCATAACATTTGCCATGTTGTCCTGTGTTTAATGTGTTGTTTAGCTATTTGGGGAATATGATTAAACAGATCTATATTTAAAAACAATCTATTGCCTGGACAGCTACATATATTGCACAGTAGCAACATTCCCTAAGATGGATTTTGTTTGGGAACACGTTCTCACTGTTTCTGGGTTGGTCGCTATCAGACAGGTCGTAGTTGTGATGTGCTTCTTCTCCTGCAGGGGGTAGCGTTAGTGTGCACAACATCAGTAATAACATGCTCTCTTAGTGGGTATGATCTGGTCTCCCTTAGTGGCTGACCTGACTCAGTGAGAATAGACCAGCTTTTTACTGACAATTTATGCAGTTACTTCTTTAGCTCAAGTGGTAGTGACTTGTGCTTTTGGGACTGAAGACCCCTTGGAGGTACACAGTGTCTTTCTATAAGCAACCTAGGTCCACTGGATATACGTTCTTCACAAACCCTCTGTTGGTTTTTACACTGGATCTTAAACAGGAAAGAAGTGGTTTGCAAGAAATAATGCAAGAGTTAATTTGGAAGAAGTTTTTTTGCAACACTCCTGGGTCTGTCATTTCCTGATATTGCTATTGTAGGCAAGTGCTGCAAGAGTAATTTTAAAATACTTTCTCTCTCTCTCTCCCCTACCATCTCACATACTTTATTATCATTAAGTATGTCCCTCAATGTCTCTGAGATATAGATGTATTACGGTGCTCAAATACCACAGTGACAATGGGCATTGTATAAAAACCTGAATAGAACAGAACAGTGTTATACAAGTAGTACAGATGAACAAACCTGAGGCACAGGGAGGCTAAATGAAGGTCAAGTAACAAGTCACTGTGAGGACTTAGTCTCCAGTATGCCAGTGTTCCTGTCCTCCAGTCTAAAGCGTTAACTTATATTATGCTGTGTTAATAGATTCATAGAGTTTAAGGCCCAAAGGGACCATTAGATCATCTAGTCTGACCTCCTGCATATCATAGGTCATGAAATTTCACCCCATTCATCTATATTGAGTCCAATAACTTGTTTGGCTAAATCATATATATTACATTGACAGTAACTGTTCATTTCACCCAGGGCCGGCTCCAGGCACCAGCCCACCAAGCTGGTGCTTGGGGCGGCACCTGGAGGGGGGCGGCGTGGCGCTCCGGCCCGAGATCGGGGCCGCGACTGGGCTCGCCGCCCTCCCCCCGGCGCTGCCTCGGGCTGCCGCGGAGAGCGGAGCCCCGCGGGGGCCCGCCCTCCCCCCCCCGGCGCTCTGGCCCCCGGGGGGGAGCGGGGCCCCCGGGGGGCCCGCCGCCCTCCCCCCGGCGCTCTGGCCGCCGGGGCTCCGCTCTCCCCAGCGGGGCTCGCCGCCCTCCCCTGCGGGGGGAGGGGGGGGCGGCGGGAGGCTTTTTTGCCTGGGGCGGGAAAAAAGCCAGAGCCGGCCCTGATTTCACCACTGTGATATGTGCCTAGATACATTGCATAGTGGTAACGTGTCAGTTGCATAGGTACTACAAAATTCTGTGTATTTTATTTTTCAGAAATGATGTTAGCTCTATTGGATGATACTGGTAACTCGTAAGCACTATTGCACTCTCAACTGCACAATTATCTGAATCTCTGCTCTGCCACATGATATTTTGCAAAAGTCAAGTGATAACTCCATTGGAAACTATTACCGTGTGTTCTCCTATAATAACTACATAAACAATTTATATCACTGCTGTAGATATACAGTGCAGTCCATGTGTTTGAGCTACCAGTATAGCTACAAATGATACTACAGATGTTAAAAGCAAAATAGCTTTGTAATTGCTTTACAAGACTTTGTCTTCCTTCTCTAATTTTTGCACAGGAGTATGGTCTGTTGCAGCTTCAAGAGGGAGCATTGATGTACAGCTTTAGGTCGGTGCTGTGTACCATGCTGCTGCTGTGCTATCATACCTTCATGACCTTTGTGTTAGGTAGGATTATTCACAGTAACCCTGTAATAGTCCTTCCATGTGATCCGTTATTGCTGGGAAACAAGGGGAAGAAGTGGTTACATTGCAAACCTGTTGGTGAATTGTTCATTCAAACCTGGACTGGACGGAGTTGGATAATTTGTGGTGGTTGATTTTTGCAATAACTGTCATCACTGTGGAAAGGGCTTTGTCCTTGAAGATGGAGGCTTGTGTAGGACATTTGGGAGGGGGACTTGAGGGGATAGCTGGGGTGTTGCCATAAGAAGAGGTCACAAGAACAAGTTATACTTCCTGAGGTCAAGTGAGTTGTTTTGGAAGTGTGTGTGTGGTTGTTGTTTTTTTTAAGTCCTTGTAAAAAGATTTGTTAAATCCTGTTTTCATGTTAATTTGTCACCCTGTCTTCTTGGGGTGACGTATTTCCCATTAAAATGATGCATTCACTCATGGCCTACCCCTAAAGCACTCTTTGACAAAGTCCCATTGGGCTAGGCCTAGGCAAATATACTACCAGTTTTTAGAATAATTGCTAAATGTATCTGAAAAAATGTGTCATTGGATACCTCAACTCTGGTCTCATAGCCCTTTGCAACTGCAAAAGCCATGCAGTGTGGCCCAGTAAAAACCTGGCCTATTCCAATGCCAGTCTTTATGGTTCTATGCTTTAAAAAGTTGCCATGGTGTTAGGAAATGGGGGGTGCCCCCGTGGCCATTCAGAAGCCAAGCAATGGACAGTCAGGATCTGATCCTGCCCACTTTCACTTTCTTTCTCTTTTTCTGTCTTGCACAGAATTGAGGATCCCAGGAGGTGGGGAGGGAGGGAGCAATGTCGCATGGAGATTTCTGCCAGCACAGAACCAGTTTGCCTTTATGGTGCCTCCATGTAAGCACAACTTCTTGGTGCCCTCTTCTGATCTGTCTGAAGTGGTGCAGGATGAGGGCCTATGTTTGGACCTAAATGCTACTGTATGGGAGAATTTATTTATTGTCCAGATGATGATTACTCAAGGCTATTGTTTCCGATTCCTTTTAATAATTTGCATTGTTTTACTCAACTAATCTAGGGACAGGGAAAGGAAACGTTGAAGAGGCAGAAAGGCTACTCAAGCCTTACTTGGCTCGCTATCCAAAAGTAAGATGAATCCTAATTTAGTTTAGTGTTTTTGTAGCTATAATGTATAAGCTGCATGAGAATTGTTCACGGTTGCTTTTGTTTATTACAGGGAGCCATATTCCTGTTTTTTGCGGGCAGGATAGAAACAATAAAAGGCAATATTGATACAGTAAGTAATCCTTTTCTCCTTGGAAAAGAACCTCCAAGAACAACGTTGCCCTATTAGTCATAAAGCCTGGCGAAGATTTTTTAAAATAGGAGCGTAGGTTGGGCTTCTAACCATATTTAGACACCCCAAAGCCAATTATCCTAAATTTTGGGCATGTCCACCTCCAATGCTGAACTTTTTGGCTGGGATCCATCTGTAAATTTGTAGTGCATAAATACAAAACAGGAATTTTATTCTGATGATTGCTTTGAATGGCTTGACCCACTGCTTTCAGTTAATTGAATTGAACAACATAAAATAACCATCTGTGATTTGTTTTAATGACTTGATTGGATCAGGGTTTAATCATTTGGGTTTGAAAGTTCTACCTTGAAAATGCCCAACTTCAAGCAAAACCCCTTTGAAATAATGTTTTTGCAACAGTCCTTTAAAGTGTTGCTGGGCCTCCATGCCGATGTGCAATCAAGAACCCCCATGATTGCTGTCCTGAAAAGGTCGCCAGAAGTATTGGCTCAGAATGGAGCACTCCAGTCAAACAGTAGCTGATTATATGTATCCTGAACAATGCAATTCCTGATTCAATTAAACTCAGCAGAAATTCCACCAGCTACAGCTGAGTGCTAGGGCTTGGCTACACTTGCGAGTTAAAGTGCATTAAAGCAGCCCCGGGCACCGTAGCTCACTACCTGTCCACACTGGCAAGGCACGTAGAGCGCTCCTGGTACTCCGCCTCGGTGAGAAGATTAACACTTGGTGCGTATTGGCTGAAATGCCAGTGTGAATGAGGTGTTGCATTACTGCACTCTGATCAGCCTCTGGAAACATCCCATAATCCCCTTAAGTCAAGTGGCCACTCTTGCCATTGTTTTGTAATAGCTGCAGGCATGCCAATATGCCCTTTGAAAGCTCTGTTTCTGACAGCCGGCATGCTTATCTGCTCCGAGACAAATCAACCATTAGTGTGGAATGCTGTGTGTGAGAGAGAGGGGCGGGGGGAGGGATAAGGGGGATCTGTTGCTGTCTGAACTTACAAGACAGCATGCTGACATGCTCTCAGCCCCCTAAAAACCCACTCTCTCTCCCCCGCCAGATACACACAACACACTCCCTGTCACACTCCACCCCACCCCCCTCATCTGAAAAGCACATTGCAGCCACTTGCATGCTGGGATATCTACCACAATGCACTGCTCTCTGTGGCCGTTGCAAGAGCTGCTAATGTGGCCATGCCAGTGCGCTTGCAGCTATCGGTGTGGACAGATTGCAGCACTTTCCCTACTGCGCTCTACGAAGGCTGGTTTAACTCTCAGCGCTCTACATCTGCAAGTGTAGCCAGGCCCCTAGTTGCAGAGCTGGTATCAAACTATGTGG